ATATATAGTAAATGCTTTTTTCCCCTTATTTGTTCATTTTGGATGCTGGTGCTAAACTTCCATGTGTCGTGATTTAAAAAGAAATTTTATGCCCTTATTTATTTCTAGATGAGGGGAGGGGTAACATTTTTGCTTTCTTATGTCACTCTGTTTGAAAATGTGCAGTATGAATGATGTTCCTCAAAAAGAAAAATTTTTACCTTCAATGAAAAAAAAAGAAGTTAAGGTTCAAAGAGATTAAATTGTCTAATGTCACATAAGGGAGCTCTGGTGGGAGAAGGATGGGCTGTCTTCTGTACAGTTTACTGGCTCTGAAAACCTGCTGGTGGGTCAGCTGTGAGCTGTTTCTGAATCGACAGTATATAGCAACATACCTAGTTAAATAGCAGATCTAGGTGTAGATTTTTATATGAAAGTCTGATTTGAAAGCTTATTGTTCTTCAATAAAAATGTAGCAATACCTGTAAAAGCAAGCACAAAAGAAATGTTGAATCAAATCCCCCAGCCCCCATTTTCCAAATGATGATTGGGGGAATTTAATATAGAATATGTCTAATGGGACTTAAGTTACCACAGGCTTAAAAATGATTTAAAAGTTCTCTGAGGCTGCTGCACTAAATGCATTGGAATCAGGGGTCAGCCAGAGTGATCAGGTAGACATAATAGTTTATGCATCACTGTAGTTTAAACTCTAGAAGAAAACCCCCCACTTCTATTTGGTTTTGGTAGAGTATGAGAGAGTTGAAAAAGAAATATAGATAGTTTTGGTTTTTAATGTTTACCTTTTTAACATAAAAAAATCATAGGTTCTTCCAACAAAAATGTCTTATGCTGCCAATTTGAAAAATGTAATGAACATGAAAAATTGGCAAAAAAGGGAAGGAGAAGAACAGACTGTGCTGCCAGAAGAAGCTGAGAGTTCCAAACCAGGGCCATCTGCTCATGATCTCGCTGCACAACTGAAAAGTAGTTTGCTAGCCGAAATCGGACTGACGGAAAGTGAAGGGCCCCCTCTTACAGCTTTCAGGTATCTGCTAAGCGAAAGCATCATTTATGGTCGTTAACACTTCTGTCAGGAATTCTAGAAAGGGATTTTAGAATTTTCCGAGTTTATTTATATATTAATAATGAGTTGTTACCTTCTAAATTCTATTTTCCTAGTAAACTATTTAAGTTAAATATTAATAAAATATAATTTAAATATTACAGTTTTTAGGTTCTTTGAGTGTAGGTTTTTTGTGGTTACTTAGTCATTGGTAGTTTATTCTCTCTTTGTTGAGAAAACGCTAATAACTTTTAATATTATTGAATTAAATATGTCCATATCAAACCATGTCCGCTTAAACTATTACCAGCTCAGTCAAAGGAAAGATGGTGTACAACCAGAGAGAGCGTCTACGTTTGTGACTAGAATTTAGGCTCCTTCATCAGACTTGCAGTTGGCAATTCTCTAGTAAAGTAGGTTCTTTGCTTTAACAACGAAAAAGGAAGTAAATAACTTTTTGAGCATCTGCTTTATGCATGTTGTTATTATTATGTGCCATTGAGTGGAAACTGGCTCATGACTTCATAAATGGCACAGAGAAGAGTGCCCGTTTCTCTCTTGTAGAGTAGCTGGTAGGTAGGAACTGTGTGCCTCTGGGCTAGCACAACTCCTTACCCCTAAACCACCAGAGCTCCCTTGCTAAATAACAGTGCTTTTATGCATGGCTATCTTTTATTTTTTTAGATAATTTTTTAATAGGAAGAATTAACTTGTTCAGAAAATGGATATACTGTATATACATTGTCTAACAATCATAAAGGACAGGAGACTTTTAGATAGGGTGGTAATGTAACTTGAGCTGAGATGGTTAGAAAGAGAGATGAGTGAAAGTTAAGGCCAGTCAGATAAAATAAGAGACATACGTAGAATAATGGTTTTGGGAATGGAAAAAGGAGTCAAGGAAAGGAAGAGAAAACCAAGGACTTTGTCACTCTTGAGAAATAGCTGAAAGAAAAAGTAAAATTGACTTCAAATCTATATAATAGGGAAATACTAAGATAAATCTGGAAGAAAGGTCATTGTGATAGAGGTCATATTTATTCCATTTTGGTCTTGCTTTATATATATATATATATATGTATTTATATATATTGGTATATAGTGAATATATGCTGGTTTGAAGCTTTAATGCAAGTTTGAACTACAGGAGGATTAGAGAATTAATCTAGATGGGTATGAATGTTGAACTTTGAGGAGAGGTGATAAAACGAAAGATGAAAATCAGAGGCAGCCTGAGAAGGCATCTCTATTCAGAGAACAGAAAAATAAGGCAAGGAAGATAAGAAGTTCTGCACATAATAAGCAGCAAAGTTTTCCATTGGAGAGGATATGGTTTAATGTACTTAAGACCCTGAAATATTGAAAGACCAAGTACATCATGGTCATATACTAAAGCAAGCACGTACTTGGAGCTGGCCTCCTCATTTCCCACGTCTGCTCCGCTTCTTCCAGACCGCAGTGTAGCTTCATGGGGATGGTCATTTCCCATGACATGCTGCTGGGACGTTGGCGCCTTTCCTTAGAACTGTTTGGCAGAGTATTCATGGAAGACGTTGGAGCAGAACCTGGATCAGTAAGTATTTTGAAAACTTGGTTTCATTCTTACCAGGAACATATTTCAGAAAATACTCTTGGCATTGTGACTTTTAAAAAAATTTTTTTTTTTTAAAGATCCTAACTGAACTGGGTGGTTTTGAGGTAAAAGAATCAAAATTCCGTAGAGAAATGGAAAAACTGAGAAACCAGCAGTCAAGAGATTTATCACTAGAGGTAAAGGTATTTAGATTTTCTTATATGTATATTATGTCATTTTCATAAAGTTTAAAATATAATCTTGTTAAGGTTCATGTACATGTGTCATTAAAATTTAAAGGAAATGAAATTATGATTGATGGTTGTTATCTTTGGCAGTTGGTTATTTAACATCCTCTAATGATAACTGTATAACCATATTAGGATTTTTGTTGAAATTTAAAGTATCATCATGAATTCCTTGATTTAAGCATATTTAAGGTATTTCATTCCATTAGAGTTATTTTTGTTCATCAGATTGTTTCTTCATTGGTTTGAGAAGGTCTCTTGATACTGGCTCCTGAGTTCTTTTGGCATAATCCCAATTGTCTTCGATCTGTGTCTTGCTTTCTAGTATGTCTTACCTTGTACATTTTCTATCACTGACTTGGTAGCCATTTCTGTTGGGAGGTCTGGCTTCTTCCAGGGGGAAAGTAGATTTTGAGATTACATTCTAGACTCTAGAGCTGCTCACTGCTAGATTAGTCATTGATTTTAGTTTTTCCCTCCAAAGAGAATAGAACTAGCAAATACCCCCTTAAAAAATATACATATAATGAGTTCATGTTTATAAGTCCAGTTCAAATTAAAGATTTTTAGAATCATAATATGAAGTCTTTATCTTCTTTCTTTTGTTCTGAATATTCCAGTTTGCAGCAACAAGGATAAAATTCATCATTTGCTTTTATTGTACAATATATTCAGGAGCTCAGAATCACCCTCAACACTACCAGCATAATGATTATTAAAAAGAGCTCGAGATCTGTTGGTTTTTAATCAATAGAGCATATCCAATTAGAGATGAACAGTCAAAACACTAGGTTTCAAATTCACTTGAGATAATTTCTCATTGTGTAATTATAACTAAGTAGGACCTTTTGTTTTTCTTGTTCAGTTTTCTAGGATTTTATTTGCCCTTTTTGTTTGTTTCAGAATTAATGTCTATCATTTGCAATTTTGCAAAGTCAGCTGTAGAATAAAGCATATTTAGAACATTTTGTTTTTATCATTTCCCTTTGAATTTTTAAACATGTATCTGTTTCTTCTCCCATTACTCAGCTTATGTACATTTTCTTCCTCCACATTGCTTTTCCCAGGCAGCATTATATCCCAGGATGCTACAGCTGTATATAAAAATGTTCCCAGTGACACTTAGAACTGCTGAAAGCATTTTGTGAATATATCACAGTTGTACAGTTAGTCCTTTGTTGCTGGATATTTGAGTTTGTTACCAGGCTTCTGGAGTTATAAGTATTGATGTACTGAATAGCTTTTACATGTTTTATTTTTAAAAAATTGAATATTTTTGCAATACATTCCCGGGCATGGAAATGACTAGGTCAGAAGGTATATACAGATAAAATTTTGCAAGATACTATACTGGCAAGTAACTTGTCATGTAGGTGTTTATTTTTGCACTTTCAGATTAGTAAGAATGCCTGATTCCCCCAGTCTTTTCACAGAGTTTATTGTAATCTCTTCTCACCCTCTGTTTGGTGAGAAAAATGTTTATTTAGATTTAGCCAGCTGGCCTCAGTTAAGATGATCCCGATTTTGTTGGCAACATTCAAAAGCATCATAATCAGGAGCAAGTTGAACATAGTCCCCCTTCTCTCCATCAGCCCTAATCAAGGCCTTGGCCATATCAGTGTCATAGAGCTTTACAGTTTGTTGGATTTGGTGCTTGTTGGCCTTGACATCCACAATGAACACAAGAGTGTTGTTATCTTCTGTCTTCTTCTTGGCTGACTCAGTGGTCAGGGGAAACTTGATGGCATAGTGGTCAAGCTTGTTTCTCCTGGGGGCGCTCTTCCAGGGATATTTGGGCTGCCTCCGGAGTCTCAGCATCTTAGGCCGCCGGAAGGTGGGTGACGTGTGGATCTCCTTTCTTTTGTGGCTGTAGGTGCCCCACAGGACTGCCTTCTTGGCCTTTAATGCCTTTGCTTTGGCTTCAGTTTTGGGAGGGGCAGGGGCTTCCTTCTTCGCTTATGGCTCCGTCGAAAGAGGTATTGCCATATTTTTAGATTTTTGTCAATCTTATAGCTGAGAGATGGTATCTTACTATAATTTTAATTTGCATTTATTTTACTATGAGTAAAATAAAGCGTTGTTGGATATATTAAGAATTCAGTTCCTTCTTTTTGTGAACTACTGTTGATACTCTTGTCCATCTTCTCAGATTAGTTTTTCAGAAGTTCTTTATTTTTTTAAATATATGCACAAATTCATAAATACATAATTTTATCTGTGACAAAAGGTGCTTCCTTAGTTTGTCAGTTTCTTATTATATTTACTTAAAAAAAATAACTACTTGGAATTTATTGAGATATATCTCTTTATAACTGCTTTTACCCCCAGTAGATTTTTGAAAGAAAGCATTAGTTAGTATTGAGTTAAATCTCATTGCTTTGATTTAATGCAAGACATTTTAAAATTGTGTATTTGGAATGAATAGGCTCCTGTGAATCCAAATTACTTTTCTTACTTGATTTAACTAGTCAAAGAACAGCTAATTTGGAATGTCAATTTTTTTAAAAATTGCAGTTATTTTCAACATTGAATTTTGCTGTTTTTTGGATATATTTATTTAATAAACAGGTTGATCGGGATCGAGATCTTCTAATTCAACAGACTATGAGGCAGCTTAACAATCACTTTGGTCGAAGATGTGCTACCACACCTATGGCTGTGCACAGAGTAAAAGTCACATTCAAGGACGAGCCAGGGGAAGGCAGTGGTGTGGCACGAAGCTTTTATACAGCCATTGCACAAGCATTTTTGTCAAATGAAAAATTGCCAAATCTTGACTGTATCCAAAATGCCAACAAAGGCACCCACACAAGTAAGTATTTTGCAGATAACAGACATTATAAACATTTTGTTTGTTTCAGCCAGGTCACTAATTATTGTATCTGCTTGTAATGGGAGCGCTTTTATGTACACTTATATTTTTTATATAATTTTATTCTAAGTTAGTGATTAGATCTTCTTTCAAAATGTTCTGACAATTTAGTTTTTTGGCTTATATTCTGTTAAATTTCTTTTGGTAAATGTTTGTGATTGTGTTAATTTCTTATGTAATACCTGTTTGGAGAGTGAGAGATTATAAAATTTGTGGTGATGTGAAAATTTAGTGAGCAAATTGTGGTATTTCCTCCAAACACAGATATTTTAAAATACTTCTCTTCAGAGAAGTAGTATTCAGAGTGGCTGCTAGTCTCCAGTGGAAAATGAGATTGCAAACAAATATAAACCAACAGTCACTAATCTTGCTGTTTTAATTTAACAAGATTTGTTATGTTTATATCTTACTGCAAACTCCTTAGGGACCAGCACTTTGAAAACCTAGAACCACCTAACTGGTGACCAGCGCTTGGAGTAGCTCGGTCATCAAGGATGTCAGAGCTGTCTATTTCACATGTCAACAGTGTTTTTAAACACTTTAGATCCTACCATAATTGAATTGGCAAGGTCACTTCAGACATTTGGTTGTTTTAATAGTTATTTATGCTGTATTATAAAGATACAGAGTACAGATTTTATAGATAGTGGCAGGAGGACTGGGGGATTAAGACTGTTTTTCAAGATAGTAACATTTAAAATTCTGTGGAAATTCTAAAAGAGCTACTGATTGTTTATTATTGAATTGAGTCTGACTCATAGCAACTCTGTAAGAGAGAGTGGAACTGCCTTACGAATGTCTGTAGTCAGCTCAAGAAATCCAGTAGCAGATGGCTCGGTCTTTGCTCCATGGAACCTTTGGTGGGTTAAGTCACTGACCTTTCAGTTAGCATCTAAACACTTAACCACTTTACCAAACTCCTTTCTTAAATGCTTTAAGGAGATGATTGTTGATTCATATCAAGCGGGTACAGTGGATTGTCTGTGAGTGGATGGATTTCACAAAAGTGAGAGAGAGAGTTTATAGAAAGCACTGCATTTTACCTGCAGTACAACTGCTGTCTATTTCTTGCTGCAGTCTGTGCCATAGGGAAGGACTGGGAGAGTTCCTCAGCCTTTCATTATTAATTTCACCATTTGACTTCCTACAGTTAATGATATAAAGAAATTGGAAGCTCTGAATGAGGAAATCTGAGAAATCAGAATAGTCTTACCTGTCTCTCTCAGAGGGCTGACGGATTTAAATGGCCTACCCTAACATGAAATTCAGTGTGTCACTAAGGTCCTCTCTGGTTGTGTTTATGAATTAAAAGATAGGAACAGTAAATATCCTGGATAGCCTACCCTTTTTTCAGTGTCAAATTCAAAGTAGAGAGTACATCCAATTTTTTCTCTAATCGTGTAAGAAATCTCAGCATATTTATAGTGAAGCAAATAGTTTCAGTGGCTGCACAACAAAGGGAAATAAATAAATATTGATCAAGCACTTGTCATGTGCCAGAGACATTCTATACAGTCACTCCCACATCTCTGCATCTGGAGAAAGAGAAAGACACTAACAATCGATGCCCATTCTAAGAAAAATGATCTGCAGCTAGTATATGTTTGTCTCATTTCCTCACATAGAGATGTTTCAGGTGGGTCCATTTATAGTCATTTAAAAGAACAATATTTCATTGTTTTCTTTTAGGTCTAATGCAGAGATTAAGGAACAGAGGAGAGAGAGATCGAGAAAGAGAAAGAGAGAGGGAAATGAGGAGAAGTAGCGGCTTGCGAGCAGGCTCT